ATACAATAAAATATATACATTTTATATATGGGCGGTGGGGAGGGGGGGTGGTTCATAAAAAAAAAAAGGTTCCAAGTTTAAGTTCCAACCTTTGGGTTGGAACTTTTTTTTTAAAGCAAGATTGGAATTTGAACAGTTCTTTGAAGTTTGTTTGAAGTTCAATTTTTTTTTCAAACACGAAAGTTGAACAGTATTAAGAAGTTATAATCTTTCTGGAAGACACTTCCTGTTATCAAACACGCCGTATATGTAACTTACATGATCGTTTATAAAGAGACTATTTATCTTTTCTACATATAGGTCATAATCATTGAACTCATTAGATATCAAATTGGATAGATTGGGGTGAGTCACGAAGTTCTAAAAAAAAAAATTTTGACGTACTTATTTAATGATACCACCCTTTTTGAAATTTGAGGGACAATAATGACCATAACCTCCATGTACAAAAAATAAATGGTTTCTTTGTAGACAACTGTAGATTTTGACTTATTGGGCATGATTTTTTTGTCTAAGGAGTAAAACACTAACTGCAAGGGGCATGCGTTTTTTTATCTGTGCATAAAACACTAACCGCAAGTCTGCAACCCTCTCTCGCTCTCTCTGTATTGGAACACTCATATGATTGCGTGAAAGGAGCTCATCCTGGTAAAGTGATTCTATTTCTCACATTTGAGTGCATGTGAATTGCCCAAAAGATTAGCTAAAAGATGTCCTACTCTTGCTTGAGTAAACTAATTTTTTACTCCCTTGAATACTTTTTAGATTTTATATTTTTGGTATGTAATTACATATCCTAAACGAGTCACAAAAAATAAGAAATTCCAAAATAAATCTCCATGTCATAAAAAAAATAAGAAATCCCAAAATAAACTATCTATGTAATAAAAAAAAATGTGATGCCTAAAAAATGATAAGAGACTTTCCAATTTTTGAAAAGCTAGATTTTTTTTCCTTTTTTTTTTTAGGTAGATCAATGGAGATTATAGGCTCCTACTAATTTTTAAAAGAGTCAATTTTTTGAATGTTAGTGAGAATGGAGGCAGTGACTTTTAACTGGGTCTCAGGTGGCACTATCACCATGGCCCTAGCCCCATTATCTGAAGAGCTAGATCTAAGACAAACCTCAAAATTTAAAATTATTTATTTTAATAGTATCATCTAGTAGCTCTTATGGTGGAGTCATTTTTGTCGGCTTCACTTAACATCAATTACGTTTACAAATTTGAATTGTAGTCGCCTTTAGATGTTTATTCAGGCGACAGTGGAGAAAGAGTTGTTATGTGACCAATACAATCAATCCATATCAGATGTGGTTTAGTAGAAATTTAAAATAAAGGTGTGGTTTCTATAAGGTTGCGACCTTAAACAATCCAATTAAGGTGTACCTTCAAATTTGATCATAACATATAATTTTAATATAAAATCTTCTTCGGATTATCTCAAAGTCTATTTCATATCTAATTATAAAATTTTAAACCCCAAAAATGGTTAAAATCAAGAAGATCTATAAACATATGAAAATTTTAAAAATAGATAGTCTAGATAATGTGTTGTAAGATGCTCTATTTCTGAGACTCAAAATCATTTTTTCTTTCATAATCATACATCTCGATGTCGAGATGCTCAATTAAAGGGTTTCTAAAGATTAAAATAATATTTTCGATGGATTTTTGAGGTGCACTCGTAGTCCTACATTTTAAGGTTGCAACCTTATATAAACTTTCCTTAAAATAATGAGGAATCATGCTTTGGGCTTGAGTGATTGTCCATGTCAAACAACTCTACATCTCAAATTTGATTCTACATTGAACTTCCCAAAACAAAAGTGCAATTTAAAATAATGATGAGACCCTTAATCAACAACAAAAGGTTAACAAAAACGAAAATTCATGAGATTATAAGTTATGGGATTGTATACAATGAGACAATTTACCTTTTATATAAGGAGGTCATAATTACTTAACCATCCGATGTGAAATCTGATACATTGGGTGTGTCAGAAAGTTCGACCAAATTTCTTTTGAAGTTTAAGCTTGGTCAATGGAATAAATGCAGTCATATAATTTCACATCCAATGGTCAAGATTAATTGTGACTACCTTGTACCAAAGGTAAGTGGTCTATGTATATTTTTTCATAAGTTATATATCCTTTATAGTAGACAACTAAAGATACTATCTTTGAATAAATGCACTTTTTTCGTTCTCTCTCTCCATCATGAGATTGTAGTCAATGTGAAATAAACATGAAGTGCACATGCCTACACTGTTGTGCGTGGAAGCTCTAAACCTGATAGGTTAATAATTCGGCTAATAAAGTATGAGAAATAAAGCATGAAACATATAACACAAGAATGCAAAGATATACGTGGTTTACCTCAAAAGGTCTACATTGACAGACACGACAAACTTAAATTCATTAATCTAATGAAAGTTAAATCAAAGATTTTGGAACAAACCTCTACAAAAAACCCAAGTCAAGCAAAACCCTTTTCAACAACTCTCAATTCCTTCTTTTTACTTTTAGAGATATCGACAATACCATATAGAATGCGTGAGCAACAAGAAATTGACTTTCTCTCTTACTAAAAGGGAAACCACCCAAAATCTTAATGGGAAACACTTCTGTACAAGAAACAAGCCTCTCAATTTTTGGGAGTCCAAAAGAGGCACCATCACAGTGTTTCTCCCTATAGGAAGCTCCCTTTTCTCTAAGAGGAAATTGCATCTTATGCACAGGAGGCTCTAGCTCCTTCTCTCTCTCTAGAGGAACCACTATTCCCATATGTTGACCCAAATAGGGTACACAAATTCTCTGCACTTTCATCCCATATATATATGATTAGGAGTCCATAGTATATAGGAAACTTCCTATTGATGCTACATATATCTCAAAACCATGAGATAAATCCAAGAGTCCTAATCTTTTTGGATTTCTATTTCTTTTAGGAAACTTATCAATATAAATCTCAATCTCACATAATATGAAAATATCTCAATCCCATAAAATATGGGATTTTCATATGTTGGTGATTTTGGATAGCATTAAATCCAA